AACCCTTTCACGTCAAGACCCCTGCTCACAGACTTGCTCTCAGTGTTGAAGAATTTTCATAAAAGAAAAAAATGATTTTTTCTTATGAAATGATGGAGGATCTTTTCTGATGGTAATGACACAAAAGTACAAAATTTGATGGAAAACTTACGGAATTACGCTTTCACGAACTAGCGGCCCTCAGCGGTATAACGCATTGGTCGAAAATAGGGCCCACTTTGAGCCCTATTTTTGGCCAATTTTCCATTGTTCCAGTCGGCCAAACTCGTAGCTATTTTGCTAAACTCCATTTGTTTCTATCGAGTGAGTATAGAAACCACCCATTTACTGATTTCAACTATCCAATAAAGTGGTCAGAAATTGGCAATTTGGGCCATTTCACACAAATTTCAAAAGATGCCAATTTCAAAATAGGGTCCAGAATAAACAATGCAGACATTCCTGGCACTAAAATAACTTTTTCCTGTTCATTAGTCACGTCTCCAGCCTCTCTTATATTACTCTTGCTTTCCCTCTTGAATTTTTTTCACACAAAAAATAGAAGATTTACTTGTTATGGCAGACTACTGCTTTATTGTAATAATTGTATAGAAAAATGTCAACCCATTCATGACTGCATATTAGACTTGCCAATTGGACATATATTGTAGGGTGACCTATTTGTTTGCTCTCGAACATGGGCAATATCTAACATTTTCGCCACTTTGAGCTCAGTTTCAAGGCACTTTTAAATCATGAAACCAATCAACAATCACCTCTGTTTCTATAATTTTTCTTCAATTCTGACAAATGAGATCAAGAAACAAGAATACAACCATAAATATAACGCGAAAGTACACCTAAAATTCGCCGTTTTAAACCAAAACAGGGTGGGATTTTTTTTCTTATGCACTGCATGCTGCAGGATTTTTTTTTATACTGCACACACTGCCCACACAGACCCATTCTCTCACATGTAGGTCTACCAGCTTTTTCCCGCTAGAATTTTGGCAAATTAATACAGTGCTAAAACTGGCTTGTAAGCCATACTAATATGACACTGATAGTGAAAGGGTTAAAAACAACCTTGATAAATTTATTTAAGTGTTATGTTAAGTGTCCTTTTGAAATAGAGTATAAAACTAACTTTCTTTTGGATACCCCTTTTATTTTTGTAATTCTATTTATAAAAAATACTGTCTCAAGCTGTAAGAATCTTTTTAAAATTTTACCACACACAGCAGGGAATTTAAAAATTTTCAGGGGCCTGCCTGATTTAAAAGGTTTAAAATTCAGTACTGTACTTGTATATGGAAACTTGTAGCAGATTGAGACATGGCTAGTCTACTACATCTTCTGTGACTGTTCACCTAGTTGTTCCAGTTAACAGTTGTGAGTTGTATCTTTGAGGATAGTCAAGTGTTTGGCTTGTGGTTCCCCTTAATAAGCCAAAACTTCTTGTCTTTACTATTGGTATGCCATAATACAATAGCTTTTGACTGAAAATTGGTGATGTAACCTTCTGGTTACATCAAACTGTGTGGAGCAATTTACCAATAACCCACAGTTTGGACAGGAAACTTTAGAAATCATTTTGGTATATCTTGTACCAATACTAAGTCACATCTGAGTATGAAATTAAGTTCGGATGACAGGTCAGATTTAGGATAAAGCATCCCATTTGGCGTGAGCAAGTTAGCGTTTATTAAGGGATTCGGGGGAAACCGGTTAGCTGGACTTGAGTCCTGGGGGTTTTAAAGTACAGTACAGTGGCCCTCGAGTTTTATAAGCCTCGCACTTCGTTAATTTCGCCTTTCAAGACTTTTTTCATCAAAATATAGCCTCACAGTTTTATAATTTACATCACCATTCATCGTTTCTGGAACACGTACAACTGACCTTTTCCCGCATCCGTGCCACACTGAGGCGCCCCACACACCGTTCCCAGTTAGTTTTGCATTGTTTATTGGTGAGCGACCATCACCCCATGCATTCATACGATAGATTTTAATATATTCCGTTCTTTTTTGTGCTTGCAACTGCAAAATAAGCCCCGTGGGCCCAAAGAAAGCTTCTAGTGCCAGCCCTTTGGTTTAAAAAATGTGAGAAACATGATAGAATTCAAGAAAGAAATCATTGCAAAATACGAAAGTGGCGTGAATGTGGCCCATCTTGCCAGGATGTATGGGAAGCCCCCATACAATCATCACTTCATCATGGCAAAGAAAAAGGAAATCAAGGAACTGTGTTGCGAAAGGGGTAGATATGCTCACAATAAAGAGATCGCAAATACTCGAAGATGTTGAGAATTTGTTATTGGTTTGGATCAACCAGAAACAGTTTTGCAGGAGAAAGTGTAATGCAGTCGATAATTTGTGAAAAGGCAAGGCAATGCCGTCTCAAGAGAAAATGCCTGGAACGAGCACTGATGTTAATGGATTTAAGGCCAGCAAAGGGTGGTTTGAAAAATTTAAGAAGCGTAGTGGCATGCACAGTGTGGTAAGGCATGGTGATGCTGCAAGTTCTGACAAATGTGCGCCTGAAAAATTCGTGCAGGAATTCATGGACTATGTAGAGGCCAAAGGATTCATCTCTCAGCAAGTGTTCAGTTGTGATGAAACAGGCCTCTTTTGGAAGAAAGTACCAAAGAGGACCAATATCATGCAGGAGGAAAAGGCACTGCCAGGACACAAGCCTAGGAAAGACAGGCTAACTCTCGTATTCTGTGGTAATGCTAGTGGGGATTTCAAAGTGAAGCCTTTACTGGTGCATCAATTTGAAATCCCAGAGTGTTCAGGAAACACAGTGTCACCAAGAGTAAATTGTGTGTGATGTGGAAGGCTAGCAGTAAGGCATGGGGTCACAAGGGAAATTTTTCCTTGATTGGTTCAGTGAAGTGTTTGGCCCGAGTGTGAAGAAATACCTACTGGAAAATAAATTGCCACTCAAGTGCCTCCTGGTAATGGATAGTGCTCCTGCTCATCCTCCAGACTTGGATGACCAAATGGTGGAGGAGTTTATTTGTTTCACCACAGTGAAGTTCTTGCCCCCTAATACCACTCCTCTCATCCAGCCCATGGACCAGCAGATTATTTCAAACTTCAAAAAGCTCTACAGGAAAGCAGTGTTTCAAAGGTGCTTTGATGTAACCTCAGACATTCAGTTGACCCCTAAGAGAGTTCTGGAAGGATCACTTCAGTATCCTCCATTGCATAGGCCTTATTGATAAGTTTTGGCAGGGAGTGATTTGCAGGACTTTGAACTCTGCTTAGAGAAAATTGTTGCCAGATTGTGTCCTTGACAATGATTTTGAAGGGTTTGAGGCTGACCCTGATTACCCTCTGCCAGTTGTGGAATCTATTGTAGCATTGGGGAATTCCATATGGTTGGATGTGACTGGCCAGGATGTGGAAGAGTTGGTGGAGGACCATAGTGAAGATCTAACCACTGAAGAGTTGCAAGACCTTCATCTGCAACAGCAAAAGACCACAGCTCAGGAAATTGCCTCAGAGGAGGAGGAAGAGAGATGGAAGAAGGTGCCGTCTTCAAAGATTAAGGACATTTATGCAAAGTGGAGTGAGATGCAAACGTTTGTGGAGAAACATAACCCTGACAAAGCTGTTGCAAGCCATGTTGGCAACATGTACACTGACAATGTCTTGTCCCATTTTAGGCAAATTTTAAAGAGACGCCAGAAACAGAGCTCTCTGGAACAATTTTTTGAGCAATGAGGGTCCAGTGACTCTCAAGCTAGTCTTAGTGGCATTCAAAAACAAAGAAGGGAAGTAACCCCGGATTATCCGGGGTTACTTCCTAAAGTCTTTATGCAAGGAGATTCCCCATCCAAACAATAGTGTAACTTCTCCATCCTTTCCCCTCCTTCTGTCTTCCATACACCAACAAGAGTCTTCAGTTAAGGTAAGTGTGATGTTATTATTGTTTTATACTTGATGTTTCATTGTTTTCTGTATGTAAATCTATATTAATGTAAAAACGTATTTTTTGTTAATACTTTTTGGTGTCTGGAACGGATTAATTGGATTTACATTATTTCATGTGGGGAAAATGGTTTTGCCATTCGTAAATTTTGCCTTTTGTCAGACTCTCTGGAACAAATTAATTACAAAATTCAAGTGTCCACTGTACAGTGCTTGTACTCTGAAGGAGAGGGTGGGAGATGTTGCATTTCAGAGGGTTAATTGAATTATGATGTCTGTGCACCTCTGGAAAGAAAAGTTATTAAATGAATTATAGTGAATAATTCCTCTTTTGGGACACCTTATTTTGGTGGATGATACTTAGTGTGATTAAAAAAAAAAAAAGACCAGTTAGCCATTTCTTCTCATAATGATGGGTTTGGGGCATATCATCTGCTATTATTGAGATTTGGAAGTGGTGGTGGTACTGCTAAGGATGAGTTTCTGGAGTGTAGCATTGTTGGTGCTCCATAATTATGCTAAGTGTAGAATGCAGTATTAAGGAATGTATATCACCTTCATTATATTTGGTCTACTTTCCTCTACTATTACTTTTACCTTATCTGAGTAAATGCCTCCACACCTCATGAATGTGGAAAATGGGGTAATGATAAGGACAAGTATTATGTAGAGACATTTGGCAACAAAATGAGATACTGTCTTTGAACTAATGGTTTTGATAAGTATGTTTTTTTATTGTTAAACAAAAAGTAGGCTAAATATGCTAATTTTAGTTTGCTGTTTTTAATCTTTTACAGGTAACCTCATTAGACATATGGCTATCCATGATCCTGATGCTTCAGCACAAGAAAAGGCACAAGCACTCAAGATTGGAAGACAGAAAAGATTACAAATTATAAATGGTCAACAGGTAAAGCTATTAACCCTTTCAGGGTCGAGACCCCCAATCCTGAACTCGCTCACAGGGTCGAAAAATTAAAAAAAAAAAAAAAATTCTTATGAAATGACAGAGGATCTTTCTCCGATGGTAATGACACCAAAAGTATGAAATTTGATGGAAAACTTATGGAATTATGCTCTCATGAAGGTAGCGGTCTCAATGATTTTACACATCAGCGATTTTGCTCACTTTGAGCCCTATTTTCGGCCAGTTCCAATGTTCCAGTTGACTAAAATCATAGCTATTTCACTATAACTTCGTTTGTTCTATCGAATGAGTACAAGAAACTGCCTATTTACCAATTTTACCTACCCAATGAAGTAGTCAAAAATTGGCAATTTGGCCAATTTCACACAAATTTCAAAAGATGCCAATTTCAAAATAGGGTCCAGAATAAACAAGACAGACATTCCTGGCACTAAAATAACATTTTCTCTGTTCATTAGTCATGTCTGTAGGCCTCTCTTATATTACTCTTGCTTTCTATTTTGAATTTTTATTCTCAAAAAATAGAAGATTTATTGTTGTGCAGACTACTGTATTATTGTAAAAATGGTATAAATAATATCAGCGCACTTGTGAAGGAGCATTATACTCACCAGTTGAAGTCATTGTATTGGACACGTGGCATGATTTGTTTATGCTCGAACATCGGCAAAAATTGAACATTTCCGCTACTTTGAGCTCAATTTCAGGGTAGTACTTTTCATCATGAAACCAATCAAAATCATCTCGATTTCTGTAATATATCTTCCATTCTATCAAATGAGATCAAGAAAATGAGAATATAGTGGTACCTCAAGTTTCATACAGCTCCCAACTCATGTATGTAAGTGTATTATTGTAAGTGCTTTTGTAAGTGTATTTTTGGTAACAAATTCATTCGGTAACGGCACTTGAACAGCCTTCTGGAATGAATTATGGCCGAAATTTGGGGTACCACTGCACATCCACAAATACAGGTCTCCCTAAACATTCACGTTTTCAATTTTCCCACGGGCTTCACACATTTGAAAATTTCCCCCGCCGCCAAATTCCACCACCAAATTCCCAGCCGCCAAATCATATTTAAGTTTCCCGCCACCTGCGAGTCCCTACTACCCTCCCTCCGACCCCCGCAACTGGCAGCCAGCCCTCCCACCACTCAGTGTGGGAGTGTTTTTTTTTGGTTCATTATTTGCTATTAAACTACAGTATAAATAATGTAAACCCATTCATGACTCCATATTGGAATGGCTATTCGAACAGGTATTAGACGGTGACATCATGTGTTTACTCTTGAACACAGCAAAGAATCAAACATTTCTGCTACAGCTAAAAATAACAATAGTAGTAGTAATAAAATACTAATAAATAATAATAATAATAATAATAATAAATAATAATAATAATTAATAATAATAAATACGATATAATTGAAGAAGGAAATTGTACAAAAATATGAGGGAGTATGGCTTTGTTTATGCTGGAGTGAGCATTAGTCTCTGTGCTCTTCCAAACATTTCACAATAATTCATTGTGTTTGGTGCTTGTAGATTGAGTGTTGACTGGAGTGGTAGTGGCAGTGGTTGAGGGAGTGGTTGAGGCAGCGATTGAGGCAGTGGTTGAGGCAGCTGTTGAGGCAGTGATTGAGGCAGCAGTTGAGGCAGCGGTTGAGGCAGCGATTGAGGCAGCTGTTGAGGTAGCAATTGAGGCAGCGGTTGAGGCAGCGGTTGAGGCAGCGGTTGGGGGCAGCGGTTTAGGCAGCGGTTGAGGCAGCGGTTGAGGCAGCGGTTGAGGCAGTGGTTGAGGCAGCTGTTGAGGCAGCGATTTAGGCAGCGATTGAGGCAGTGGTTGAGGGAGCGATTGAGGCAGCGATTGGGCAGTGGTTGAGCAGCTGTTGAGGCAGCGGTTGAGGCCCGCGGTTGAGGCAAAACGGTTGAGGCAGCGTTGAGGCAGCTGTTGAGGCAGCGATGAGGCAGCGGTTGAGGGAGCGATTGAGGCAGCGATTGGGGGCAGCGTTGAGGCAGCGGTTGAGGCAGCGGTTGAGGCAGCGGTTTTAGGGGAGCTGTTGAGGCAGCGATTGAGGCAGCGATTGAGGCAGCGATTGAGGCAGCGGTTTTAGGCAGCGGTTGAGCAGCTGTTGAGGCACTGTTGAGGCAGCGATTGAGGCAGCGATTGAGGCAGCGATTGAGGCAGCCCAAATTGAGGCAGCTGTTGAGGCAGCAGTTGAGGCAGCGATTGAGGCAGTGGTTTTTAGGCAGCGTTGACGCAGCGATTGGGGGCAGCAGTTGAGGCAGCAGTTGAGGCAGCGGTTGAGGCAGCGATTGAGGCAGCGATTGAGGCAGCGATTGAGGCAGCGACTGAGGCAGCGACTGAGGCAGCGACTGAGGCAGCGATTGAGGCAGTGGTTGATGGCAGCTGTTGAGGCAGCGATTGAGGCAGCGGTTGAGGCAGAGGTTGAGGCAGAGGTTGAGGCAGCGATTGAGGCAGCGATTGAGGCAGCTGTTGAGGCAGCGATTGAGGCAGCGATTGAGGCAGCAATTGAGGCAGCGGTTGAGGCAGCGATTGAGGCAGTGGTTGAGGCAGCGATTGAGGCAGCGGTTGAGGCAGCGGTTGAGGCAGCGGTTGAGGCAGCGGTTGAGGCAGCGATTGAGGCAGCGACTGAGGCAGCGACTGAGGCAGCGACTGAGGCAGCGACTGAGGCAGCGATTGAGGCAGTGGTTGATGGCAGCTGTTGAGGCAGCGATTGAGGCAGCAATTGAGGCAGCGGTTGAGGCAGCGGTTGAGGCAATGGTATTTAATAACATACATGTTAATAATAATAATAATAATAATACATGTTGTTAATAATAACATGTACTATTATTATTTATAACATATATGTTATTAAATACCACTGCCTCAACTGCTGAATTATTGTGAAATGTTTGGAAGTGCATGGAGATTAATGCTCACTCCAGCATAAACAAAGTCACACTGACGATGTGTCAACCACTCCCTCGTATTTTTGTACAATTTCCTTCTTCAGTTATATTGTATTTATTATTATTATTATTATTATTATTATTATTATTACTATTGTTATTATTAGCAGTAGCAGAAATGTTCGATTCTTTGCTGTGCTCAAGAGTAAACAGATGATGTCACTGTCTAATACCTTTCCAAATAGCCATTCCAATATGCAGTCATGAATGGGTTTACATTATTTATACTGTAGTTTAATAGCAAATAATGAACAAACAAAACACTCACCACACTGAGTGGTGGGAGGGCTGGCTGCCAGTTGCGGGGGTCGGAGGGAGGGTAGTAGGGACTCACAGTGGTTGAGGAAGTGGTGGAGGCATTGGTGGAGGCATTGGTGGAGGCAGTGGTGGAGGCAGTGGTGGAGGCAGTGGTGGAGGCAATGGTGGAGTCTGTGGTGGAGTCTGTGGTATTTAACCCTTTCAGGGTACGTCCCGTAGATCTACGGCTTTTCGGTGAGTGTCCAAACCGTAGATCTACGCCAAAATTCTAGCGCCGTCAAATTTAGCGCGAAAGCGCTCATAGGCCTACATGTGAGAGAATGGGTCTGCGCCGTGGGTGTGCGCCGTAAACAAAAAATCTAGGCACCTGCATAGCATTGTGGGAACGCCGGCTCATTCACCCTTGTTCACCATGCCTCGTCGCAAGTCAGCTCTCACTCCCCGGAAAATTGGGACTCTCCTCTTCCTGTCTGATAGTTCTGACACTGATGGAAGTGGAAATGAAGACGAATTCTACGGCTTTGATAAGTTAGTGACCGAAAATAATGACCAGGATATCGATAATAGTGCAGAAAACCCCGACGATCCTCGACCTTCTACCTCTGGTGTGGGCACTCGTGACTCACGGTCGGGTGTTCCTAAATGTAAGAGAAAACTAATATTTTCCCGTGGCCAGGCCTCTGACTTCAGTAATGACGATGATTCTGACGTGGATTGTGATTTTATTGCGCTCGACGATCATTCGAGTAGTGATAGTGAGGAAACATATTCACCAGTGAAGCGTCGGTATGTTCGCCGCCGCATGCGCTCGGGTAGTGTACCCTATGCTGTCCCCAGGGGACGGAGTGCATCCCGGAGTACATCCCGGAGTACATCCCGGAGTACATCCCGGAGTACATCCCGTGGCCCTACACCCGTTTTAGGTAGTGATAGTGAGGATGATGTGGCTACACTTGGCATGGATGGGCCACAGGCATCAGTGGATGGTGTTAGTGGTGCTGGTGGTGGTAGTGGCACCGCCATGCGTGACTCACTGTGCCACGCGGGGACCCACGCTGCTGACTCGTCAGTTCAAGGACAAAGTGGAGCGTCACCCACCAGCCCGCCGCAACCACCCGTACAACCAGCCTATGATGTCCAGTATCCACCAGCAAACCGTATCTGGGATTGGCAGCAAAATCCCAATTTTGTTCCCAGCCCTCACCACTTTGATGACTCTCAAAGTGGAATTCTACCTACCGTCCCCTTGGAACCACGGCCAATGAACTGGAATTCTTTGAATTATTCTTTGACCAGCCATTGATGGAAATTATTGTCAGGGAAAGTAATAAGTATTTTCAGTACACCATGGCAAATACGATCTTATCACCACAGTCAAGACTACACAGGTGGAAAGAGACGACTGTTGCAGAAATGTATTTGCTTTTTGCAACAATAATGCTTATGCCTCACGTCTATAAGCATAATATAAAAGCATACTGGTCCACAGATCGGCTAATTTGTACCCCATCCTTCAGTGAAATAATGCCAGTGAACAGGTTTATCTTACTGTTACGTATGTTGCACTTCTCTGACAAAACCAGGCCTGACAGAAGTGACAGGTTATACAAGATTAGAAATGTTTTCATGTATCTCAAACAAAAGTTCAAGATATACTTTTATCCATTCAAGAATCTTGTAATTGATGAGTCTTTGATTTTGTTCAAAGGGAGACTGTCATTCAAGCAGTATATACCGAGCAAGAGG